CTGTAAACGTGTGTCAAACCATTCCCCTATGTATGTCCGCTGGGACAGTTAAGTTGTTACCAAGTTGGAACAACCATGAGGGAAATCGTGTCTGTACAGTTTGACTTGATGCCTTGGTTCCTTGAATTTGATCCTCTGGCATCCAGGGTGATCTCAGTCCCATCCAGGAAAGTTCAGTGGGTTTCACTTTGTTTTAAAGTAACTTCCTCACATAGTGAGGCCTTTGTCAAGGGACAGCAAGTATGGAAACAGGCATCATGTTCTCAGGAATGGTGTGTTGTGTGTGGACCATCCACCAAGAATAAAGAAGCCAGAAGTAAGTCTGTTCCCCACCCCCCCCAAAAAAGAATAGATTTCTGCTGGATCTTTTTATTTATTTAAATTAGAAACAAGCTTGCTTCACATGTCAATCCCAGCTCCCTCTCCCTTCCCTCCTCCCCTCCCCCCAAACCCAATCCCCACTTCGCTACCCAGGGAGGGTGAGGACCTGCTGGATCTTAAGAATGCTAGGAATATACAGCAGGTGCTATGATCTAAATCCGTGCATCGTTACTAAACAGGAGATGGGCCTCCACACATGTGAAGAAACTTGCCCACATAATCGTCAGCTTCCTAGGGTTTAGATTTAGGTAGCATAGTTTATCATGAGAAACAGACACACCCTCGTTCCTTCTGGTATGTGGTAAGCAAGGGAGCAGAACTCCAGAACAGAGAGAGAGAGAGAGAGAGAGAGAGAGAGAGAGAGAGAGAGAGAGAGAGAGAGAGACAGAGAGAGACAGAGAGAGAGAGACAGAGACAGAGACAGAGACAGACAGACAGACAGAGACAGAGAGAGAGGCAGAGACAGAGAGAGAGAGTGAGACAGAGACAGAGAGAGTATGTGTCTGTCTGTATGTATGTCTCTGTTTGTCTGTATGTCTCTGTGTCTGTCTGCGTGTCTGCGTGTTCCATGCCCATTTTTGTGAGAGTGGGTATATACATGCACTCTAGGATCCCAGAGGTAGACAATGAGTGTCCAACTCTATCATTCTCCACTTTACTTCCTTGAGACAGGATCTTTCAAAGAACCTAGGCTAGCAGCCAGCGAGCCTCTGTCATGATTTTGTCTCCCCTCCCCACACGCCTGGGATTGCATGTCCACAGCCATGATTGGCTTTTTACATGCGTTCTGGGGATCAACTCAAGTCCCCATGTTTGTACAGTAAGCTCTCTTGCCCGCTGAGCCCAATTCTTAGCTCCTGTATGATCGTCTTAAAAGCTCATTATATATATATATATATATACCTTCTGACCCCCCCCCAAATATTCAGTTCCTTCACTCTGTGACTTCATGGCCTTCTGACTTGTCCCCACTGCTTTCACCCCGACTTTTCTGCTCTGGCTTCATCATTTGCTCATCCTGGAATTTTCCAGACATTCTTATTTCTTAGGACCCCGCTGGTAGTTTCTGCATCTCCTTGTCATGTTCTTCTGAAGTGTAAGAAAGTCCTTCTTATAATTATGGCTCTGCCTGTACACCTGCTCAATGGCTGTTTCCTCCTGCTCCCCTTTAACTCAGTTTTCTTTTTTTCCCTTCTGTAATATATAAAAAAATATATTAACAGTGTGTGTGAGTGTGCGCGTGTGTGAGTGTGGTGATTGCTCCTTTCACTAGGATAATATACCACCAGGCCTCGCTCTTTTCCCTCAGGATTTGTATGTGAAGGAAGCTGAGACACCCCTGGGCAGAAGAGTAAAGGAGAAGTGAGAACGCGCATTCCCGGCAGTACAGCTGCCGCCTAAACGTGTTAGATGCCTCCGGCTTCCCAGCTACAGTAGCTTCTGGTTGTATATAAAATGCCAGAAAAGGTCAACTTGGCGGCAGAAAAGGTTCACTTGGCCTCACTGTTGCCGTTTCAGTCAGCGGCCACACAGTTTTATTTCAGGACCACAATGGCAGGAAGCAAATGATAGGACCTAGCCTCTCATCTTACGGTCGTGGAAGAGCGGGCTGGGTGAGAGGGTGCCCCGAGTGACTTGTTCCTTCTCTCCAGCCCCCAACTTGTAAGGTTTGTACCATCTCCCAATAGCACCAACCAGGACACCTATCTGTGAATACATGTATCTTTGGGGGGACATTCCTGATCCGAAGTATGACACCATGCTTTCTGACAGCAAACAGGATAATAGATAGAGAGATGATAAATGATAGACAGGTAGGTAGATAGGTAAGTAGGCAGGCAGGCAGGCAGACAGACAGACAGACAGACAGACAGACAGACAGACAGACCAACAGACAGACATATTCACCCCAAGGAAATAATGAATGGTGAATTAGCAATGTTTTTCTGTGTTTTGTTTCTGTTTTCTGTTGTGATTTTTAAGTAGGGGGTGTACTTAAAAAGTTAGAAGCCAGGCAGAGACAGGTGGATCTCTGTGAGTTTGAGGCCAGCCTGGTCTACAGATCTAGTAACAGGATAGCCAGGACTGTTATACAGAGAAGCCCTGACTTGAAAAACAAAAACAAAAAACAAAAGAGTCAGAAGAAGTCTGTGCATAGGATACTGGATGCTGGTGGCCCCGCTAATAATTAGGGATATAGGAGTCACAGTCAAGGGCTATCTCTGTCTACCGCTTGAGTCTGAACACCTCTGAACACCGCTCCTCTATAGCAGGTGGCCATACCCCTCTCCCCAGCTGGGTTACAGAAGACAGCAGTCGGCACATCAGAGTAGGAGCCTTGGGTGATAATTAGTTAGTATTCCAGCTGTGTTCCTTTGACCCCTGTTGCATAACCTGCTGCTTTTAGAGGCCATGTGCAGAGTCCAGGGCAAAACAACTGTTCAGTAGGAAATAGTTCAACGTATTCATGCAAACCATCTTTCTGGCTAAGTCATGTTCGTTAAAAAGGTAAAAACAACTAAGTTCCTTTCCAGTGACCTGTATGTGTGAATAAATTGGCTTGTTATTGCTTTAAAAAACAGTCTAGTTCTTTTATGGCCCATCTAATCCTGAATTCATATTCTGATTACTTTAGCATATTGGATTTATCCTCTCCACAGCGAAATAGGATATTTTTTACTCCCACCATATTAAGGGAAAATACATATGCCCAGCACAGTAAATGGTAATTTAAAAAAAGTGATTGTAATTTCACCCCGGTGTAAATCTAAGTTCATACCATAGTATTTAAAAAAACTCAAAGATTTGGTTTTGCTTTGTTTTCTAACAAAACAAATAAAACCTAGTGTTATGTGGCATGGGCACTCTGGAGACTAGAGCAGAGGCCAAGGCAAGAGGGCTGTCAATTGGAGGCCAACCTAGGCTAAGACACGACCCCGTGTGTGTGAAAAACAAAGCCCTTAACGGCTCCCTCTGTTAGGCTATGTCTTTCCTTGCTCTCCTTCTCTGTTCTTTCCCCAGCTCGACCTTCCTGATCCCTCATGTCCTCCTCCCCCCTCCCCTTCTCCTCTCCTCTTTCTCCTACCTCCCTTCCCCCTCTCCGCTCTGCTCCCAGTTTACTCAGGAGATCTTGTCCCTTTCCTCTTCTGGGGTTGGGGGGTGAGGGGGGACCATGTATGTCTCTCTCAGGGTCCTCCTTTTCAGGAGCCCATTCCCTAGGTAGGAATGCTCTCTCAGCCTAGATGCACAGGGAAGGTCCTAGGTCCTACCCCAAATGATGGGACAGACTTTGATGATCCCCAATGGGAGGCTTCACTCTCCCTGAGGAGTGGATGAGGGGTTGGGGTAGGGAGTGGGGGGCATGGTGAGGACAGTGAGTGGAGAGAGGGAACTGGGATTGGTATGTAAAATAAGACTGAATTTAAATAAAAAATAATTTTAAAAAAGCAAAAAATGATTAATATTAACAGAGAACCCTCCCAAAGCCAGTTGTCTCCACTTTTGGAGGGGCTAACAGTGAGCCATTTTGAGTGGCATGAGCACAGCTCCTGTTGCTTGTGCTCTGGGTCACATAGAACACTGGTATTATTTGGGACATGAATGGGCCACGGCCCATCCCTGGCATTGACAAGACTCTGGCCTGAATGGGCTTTGTCACAATACACCAGCTGATCCTGGGAGCATAATGGCTTTCAGATGTGGGGACTTAGGGAAACAGAATCCGAGGTCTCTGGATGGCCCTTCAAGGTGCTTCCTCGTCACAGAGCAATGACATTGAGAGACTGGCGTCACTTTAAATATCAACGTATACTGTCATTTGTCACCTTCGCTTAATAGTCTTCTGGTTTGTCTGTCAGCTTAAATATAGGTCCATTTCATTCACACAGAAATTGAGATGAATGAAAGGCTAGTATGACTAAGTTTGAATCAAATACTGAAGAAACTTCTCTTAAATTCAAATAGTAAGTAGGTTGTAACTGGGGACCCCTCACAAAATTTCCTTGAAGAAAAATTGTATTCCTTAAGTTTTTCTGCAGGGAAATTGTGTGTGTGTATGTGTGTGTGCATTCTTATATACAACCAGGGACTGTCTCTGAGCATTTGTGGAGACTGTTGAGTTCATGATAGACTCATGGGTAACGATAGTGACTCAGCAAAGCCTGGGAATCAGTGTGATCCCTGTCTAAGGTCCAAAGACCCACGTCCCAGATCAAACAGGCAAGAATCCAAAAGCACAAATACCTTCTTCATTTGTCCTTTTGTTATGTTCAAGCTCTCAGTAGAATGTGGTCAACTTTTCTCAGCTCACAGATCCAACACTAACCTTATACAGAAACACCCTTGCACACACACGCACACCTAAACGATGCCTGTAGCTCGTTCAGATTGGCACATGAAATTGACTAGCATAGAAATAATCTTGATGAAACCATATAAATGATAATAAAGTAATGTGCCTATAAGAAGCATATTTGAAATAACCTTGATACTGGTAAGCATACCTCACATGCTTATATCCTGGTTATGAGTTTATTCTTAGTGTTATAGGCCTACATTTCAATTTAGGCCAATCAGAGTTTGTTTATCTAAGGGGAGCCGCACACTCTGGTTGTACTTACAGCAGATGACTGTCTTCACGGAAGCATTCCCGACGTATAAAATGTAAAGTGCAGTATGTTTGGTCAGCTCAGCCTGATGCATCCCATTTACGGTTTTTACCATAACATATCTTTTTCACTCTGCCAGTAAGAGGGGAAAGAGAAGTGGTCAGGTCCATGGGATAAGAAGCATGTGTGTATTGATTTGCTCGTGGTTGGGCAGAGCAAACTCATTTGTCTTTGGTATCTTTTCTCTTAAAAACAGTGTTTAAAATTGCAAACTGTATTCAGCCATTCGGGTTAAGGAGCCGCACGCTTTACTCATTTCAGTGTTTTATGTGGGCTCTACCAAGACTTAATTTTTTTTTTTAGAAAAGTATGTGCTGCTTTTGCTGTGGGCGATAATTGCATGGTGCTGTGTTCTAATTTATTTTCAGTAAAGTAGAAATAAATGTATCTGATTCCCCCCCCAAGGTTAGCATAAAAGATTTCTGTAAAACATAACAGGAGGTAGGAAAGGGCCTGGCCTGCATGAGGTACATTGTGTGACTGGCACTTCCACCAGGCACGTCGTCACCACTAGATAAAAATCCTGGAATTCAGAGCTAATGTTAGTTACCCTGGGTACCATCTAGTGTAAAAACATTATCTTAGTTTCTAGCTGGGCAAAATTTCAGAGTGGGTCTTCCTTCTTTCTTCCCGTTAGGTGAGTGTCCCCTTTTTTAATCAGCTAGATGGGGACAGCTCTTTAGGGTTCCAGAAACAAGTCTTTGTTACTCCCTTGTGCTCAAATGCCACACCTGGACAGATCTCTCAGCTGCTGTCATGTTTTGGAAAATAATGATTAACCGATGACAGAAGAAGAGGGAAAGAAACCAGTATTCGTCTTTCTCTTACTTAGCAAAATGAATTTCTGGTTTCTGTTGAAGCAACCCAGCCTTTTATTTTAATTCCGGTCATTTTCTTAAACACAAGATTCTAGCTTCAGACGACTTGGCTGTGACTTCTCATTCAAAGTTCTCTTGGGGATATTACGTCTCCGGCCTCTTACTCCAAGAAGTTGATGAGAAGTATGAAGAGACTATTTGGAATAATGCTTGATATTTTTGAATAAACATTTATTTGAGGACGGTGATGTCGTTTAATGTTTAGGGGGAAGACATATTGTTCTTTAAAATTTCGCTGTTCTGTCTTTTTTTTTTTTTTTTTGGTTTTACGAGACAGGGTTTCTCTGTATTGTTTTGGAGGCTGTTGGTCCAGCCTGGCCTTGAACTCACAGAGATCCGCCTGCCTCTGCCTCCTGAGTGCTGGGATCAAAGGGGTGCACCACCACCGCCCAGCTTGTTCTGTCTTTTTTTAAGCACCCTTAAATAATCAGTTCTTGCTAGCCACTATTCGTTTGTGAGGCAGAACATCTTTAAAATTTCTCTGTTCTGTCTTTTTAAGCACTCTTAAATAATCAGTTCTTGCTAGCTACTATTTGTTTGTGAGTCAGAACACCTTTGTGTACTTCCGTCTTTAGTTTTGTGCGTATTCCTGTTGTCACGTAACATCACAGGGGGAGCCTCGGTTTAGACAACGCTCAGTGGTATTGAATTCAAAATAGAAACCACTGTCTTTTTGACAAACAGGGTAAAGAAGTGTAGATTCTTGCCAAACATGTGAAGGCTGAATGTCCTTTTGTGGCTTCTAAACTGCACTTATTGGTGCTGCTGTTCCTTACCATGGCGTGTCAAACACTCTCTCGTGAGGGCGGCTTTGTAATTAAGCTGTCTACAACACAATGTGTAGAATTCCCGTTTCGCTGAGATGCTTGAAGTGTGGGACGGCCTTATTTTCAGATTTCATGGGTTTCTGTAAGAATTATAATACATGATATTGGCAGTACCGTTATTTACTTTCAAAATAGCAAAATAGCCAGACAAAGCATGAGGATTTGATAAAGCACGGCCATACTGAGTGACGATGGCTCTAGGAGTGGCCGATCTGGGCAGGACGTTTTGAACGCTGCTGTTTAAAATTCACCTTTTCTTGGTGCACATTGAAGAGGTGAAACACGCTCTAGCCAAGGCCACCCGTCTCTGGGTGTTTCTTCAGGCAGCAGCCGCATCCTCTGCATCCTCTTTTACGCTCTGTCCTGGGAAATGACTGACTGGCTTGCTTACAGCACCTGGACATTCTGTTCCTCCTCTCATCTCTCCACCCCTTCTCCCTTCCAGTTCCCACGACAGCAGCCAGCACCCCTGATGCCGTGGACAAGTACCTGGAGACGCCTGGGGATGAGAACGAGCATGCCCATTTCCAGAAAGCCAAAGAGCGACTGGAAGCTAAGCACCGGGAGAGGATGTCCCAGGTAGAGTGGGCTGTCTTCTGTTGCTTTAGAATACAGCCTAGCGAAATCTGGGCTTGCCTCTGCCTCAGTCTGTCTTTAGACACAACGCTTAATTTAAATGTTTCTTCTGAGGACACAGACTGTAGGAATTTGGGCTCCCCGGCCCCCACAGTGAAGGCAAGTACAGGAGGATTTTGGAGCACAGATTGAGTTGCGTGTCTCTGCTAAAGAAAGGTACTCTGGGGAGATGCTAAGGTGACAGCTGCTAATTGCAACTTTATTTTCTATGCGTATCCCATAATAGGCTGTAGACCTTAAATGTGCATGGTAAGATTTGTTTGAAGAATGGAGAGGTGGGAGCAGCTCAGTCAGTAAACGGCTGTAATTCCTGTAACCCACTAGGCATGAGAATCAGAGTTTGGTCCCCGGAAGCCAGCCCTGATGGCGTGTGCTTGTAATCCAGTGCTGTGGATGCAGAGGCAGACAGGTCTCTGGGGGCTTTCTAGCCAACCAGGGTAGCCTGCTTGGAGAGCTCCGCCCAGTGAGACCAGCCGTTTCCCAAGAAGTGTGTGCCACCGGAGGAAGATTGCCTACAAGTTTAAGCTATGCCCTTAACCTTGGGCCAAGTCCCAGCCAGCTTCTTTATCTGGCTTTTGTGTTCCAGTGGCTATTCACCTGCTCTCATCACCCTGCCCTGGGCACCATCCCTTTGGGGAAACTTCCGGAGCCCACTCATGTCACCTTAACTCCTACTTCCCCTTTAGTTCCCCCCTCCCACCAGTCTTCCCTGAGATTGGCCCCCGCTTTGTCCCTGTGTCCCTGAGGATCACCAGCCGCTGTCTTCCCCTTGGAATCCGTCTCCCGATCTGCCGGCATCACTGTACCTGAATAACAAGAAAACCCTTATTTTAAACAGAACTAGTGGTGTATCTCAGAAGTGGGACACGGTTACTGTGTCTTTAAAACTAGCTGTAGTGCTCGTCCCTGTTCTGGAGTTAAAACATTAAGAGGAAAGGGCTTTAATGGCCAGGGTAGACCAGGATACTTGGTAGACCAGGATACTTCGGGCAATGAACTACAATTCACATTCACAGTGGGCTCGATGCAGCAGCCAACTGAAATCCATGCTTCTGAAAACTACAATTTTTCACATTTTTTTCACTAGAAGGGTCATTTAAGAAGGTGTGGAAAAGCTGAGTGGGATCTACTATAATTCCCTCTTATAATAACTCAAAATTGATCTCATTTTCTGAAGCTTTCAGAGGTTTCCCTGTGACCCGTAAAAAAACAGTGCTGGCCCCATGAATTGCGCGGAAGTCTACGGGAAGTATAATAAACGCTGGGATCCCAGAACGACATTTGCCACGCCCACCTGCCACTGCACCCTCACCCCAGCCTTGAGTCAGCCTCCCATTCACCCACCTGCCTGGCTTGCCTGCAGCCAGAAGCTGCTCCCCTACTGGGGGGCTCACTTTGCCCTTGATCACAGCTTAGTTCAGGGATGTCTTCCTGTTCCTCATCCACAAATCCCCATAGTTTTTGAACTGGGGAACGCAGTTACTCTTACCTTTCGTTTGATTCAAAAGATTTGTGTAATAATTTACTCATTGGTGATTTACATATACATACATATATATCCAATGTTTCTACTAATTCTAATTCCTTTTATCCATATGAATTTATATGATCTATACCAACCTTGTATTTCATTCTTAAACCCACCAAATCCTTTTTTTAAAATAATTTTTAAGGCCCATGGAAATTGTTTTCCACTGTTTCTGAGCTATTTCTATGCAACTAAGGAAGCAAGTTCCAAGTACTCTGTGAGCTTCTGATGTGGTGTGTTGTCGACTGAGACGCCTCAAGAGCATAAGCTACTTAATCCAGGATGTAGTTCACATATTTCCGGGAGATTTTCTCCATCTTCTTGCCTCTGATCTGAGATTACGTAGCTGTTTTCATCCCAGATCAGAGAATGTGCCCGGTAGATTCCAGTATGACAGGCTTGTAAGGCTCGTGAGCTGCATTTATCTTCCTAATCTATGCAGCTGAATTCTGGGGACTTTTTGACTTTGAACTCGTCTGCCTCTTAAATCTCTACTGAGTAATAGTCACTCTCTCTACATGACATAGCCAGGACTCTGAAAAGCCATAAAGCCTGATGGAATTGTTACCTCTCTGCACACAGTGAGAAGCAGTTGTACAGGTATTCATAGTGCAGACCCCAAGTTTAGAGTTCAGATCCAGAGCACATCAAGTTTTCAAATGTGAGGCTTTCAAACTTGGTTTTTGTTGTAGTCTTAAAATTTTCTAGGTTAGCATAAAGATAATGGGCTCCATCTATTTCTGTTGCACACACAGAGGGTTAGGGACAGTGATATTTTGGTCTATGGTAATGAGGACTTCGAGCTAGCCATCTGAAGATATCTGCTACAATGTGACTAGCTTGTGGCAGATACAAATAAACACCACCAGCCCCCAAAAAAGAAAAACCCAGGGCAAACTAAAAATGCTTTCATTACTGCGTTAGTTACTCCTTGTTATGGCAAAACAGCCTAACAAGAGCATCCTAAGAAAGGAAGAATGTGTTTGGGCTTAGAGTTGTAAGCTATAGCCCGTGGTGATTTGATGATCATGGCGGACAGCAGGAGTGTTAAGGCAGAGGGTCACCTTGCATCTGCAGTCAGAAGCAGAGCCCACGCGGCTGCTCAGCTTGCTTTCTCATTTTCCTTCAGTCCCGAATCCCCAGCCATGGCACTTAGGATGAGTCTCCCCACATCCATTAACTTAATCTAACCTAGAAAACACCCCCACTGCCATTTCCCAGAGACTTCCATGGTGATCCTAAATCCTATCAAGTCGACAAGCAAGATTATTCATGGACACTTCTTACATATTTAGCCATTTCAGTATGTGTGTAGAATCAAGTCCTTCAAGATGAAAATTCACCTGATGCTACATTTTTTAATATATCCGGTGGCACCTTGGGAATAGTTTTTGGTACTGACACTTAGCTCTCCTGGTAGATAGATGTCCCGCTCTATAGTGGACATTGAGCCAGTAAGCTAATTGGTTTGTCTTCATTCCTTATCCATTTGTTATTTTCATCATGGTTTTCTTAAACTTGTCTGTAAAGTGAGCCCGGCCATTACCAAATAAATCAGGCTGACTTTGTAGAGCAGTTAGTCCAGTAATGTTTTCTATTGTCAGTGTACCCCAGTGAAAGCCACTGGTAAAAGGGGGATCTTCCGCCTACGGCATCTGTTAGTAGTCCTGTAGTGATGGCATAAGCCATGTATTTGTAAGAGTGGAAGATACTGTTGAATTATTCTGAAAAATCAATGTTTGAGTACAGTAATACATTGTTTTCAATACATTAGCTAGGTAAATCTTAGTTATTCCATGGATCTGAGACTCCAAGCAGGAAGCCCGGGTTCTGAATGGGCAAGGGAGATGATAGTAATGCATGCATAATGCAGGGAGTCTGTTTTCACACCCCCATTAAGACATTTGGTTTCGATCTCAAGCCAGTTTTGAGATTTCTTGCCTGAGGAATTCTAGGTAGAACACCACCATGCTGGAAACATTCTCCGAACTGAAAATTGAACCTTTTTTCCTCCCGGGCTTATCTACAAAGCAAGGATAGTCGCTTCACTGTCTCCTTGGTCCACTGCTTTTTGTTTGTTTGTTTGTTTGTTGTTTTTGTTTTGTTTTTTATTTTGGTTTTTTGAGACAGGGTTTCTCTGTATTGTTTTGGAGGCTGTCCTGGAACTCTCTCTGTAGACCAGGCCGGCCTCAAACTCACAGAGATCCACCCGTCTCTGTCTCCCGAGTGCTGTGATCAAAGGCGTGCGCCACCAACGCCCAGGTGATCCACTGCTTTATTAACTGATGAAACACCCAAGTACCTAGGACAGTTTGTTAATAATTTTTGCTTATATCTTGTTCTCAAAGAAACTACTTTAAAAAACCCAACGCAGGTGCTGACTGGATATGATTTTATTAGCCTTGTTTTCCTTGCAATTTTGGGGGAATCACGCTTTCTCCTACTTCAGATGTATGCAAAGATCTCAAGTATTTTGTTTTGCTCATGTCATCATCCTTCATTAGTCTCACTTCACACTTAAACTCACTTCACAGACAACATACTAGAAAAGGAAAAGGCAGCCACAGGTGATGAGAAATTAGCCCTCGTCATTGTAGACACTATGCTGATGGGCGACAGTCTCTCAGGGAATGAAGATCAAGGCAGAGAACAGGAAACTGTCGTGACACATCAGACTGTCCTGGTTACTTATTAGCCTTACCTTTTGCCACATTCGGAAGATTATAATACATACTTTCTTAGAATTTCTGGGTGGATTTGGAGTAATCTTTGCGATTTGTGACTTCGGTTACCAATCAAGAGTCTGCTGTTCATTTGTGCAAGGGGTAGACCTTAGGGTTTCAGACAGCAGAAGTCTTCTTTCTCTTCCTGCATCCTCTCTCCTTTCATCTGCACATATGCGTACCCCAAAATACACCATTTGACATGTTTTGACTTGACGTTGTAAAAGCTTAAAACCAATGTGCTTAGTTTACTGATGGGAAACCTTGTTCAGACTGTATAAGCCTTTTAATTGATGTTTACTCCGGTCGAGTAAAATGACTTTCAGCCATTTCTCAAGGAAAACGCAAAGGTGACCCAGCCTTGTTTCAAGAAGATGCAGTAAGCGTTGACACTTAGAGTCACCACTCTGCTGACATAGGTTATTTGGATTCTTGTAGGACACATATTATCCATATAGGAATGGCCATGTGATGTGCTTTTCACAGAAAACAAGCTGTGATATAACCTGTCCAGTTAAATCTGTATTTGAAGAAGAGTTGAGGATTTCCAGCTGAGGTCTTTTGTCGTCTTTACAGGTCATGAGAGAATGGGAAGAGGCGGAGCGTCAAGCAAAGAACTTGCCCAAAGCTGACAAGAAGGCTGTTATACAGGTAGCACCCAGCCCATCTTCACACCAGACAGGACACGCACACTCTCACTCACTGAGGACCCCCCAGGCCACCAGCATCCGCTGGAAGCCCCTGTCTTCATATTTGTATGACCTTGGGCCCCTCCCACTCCTTGCTGAGTAATAAGTTGCTTCCTTACATTTGCTTCCAACTATTTCAGATTAGAACGAACTAGCCACCCGAAAATTTAAATTGCTGGCAATCTTCCTTCCATCAATGATACATCTTTTGGGTCATTGGAGTTCTCAGCTCCTCTATTCCCTTGGAAGATTCAAGTGAGATTAGGAATTTAGGACTAACACCCGTCCCCCAAATTACCTTATGTGAACAGAGAAGGCTGTCTTTGCATTAAGTGAGTACATTGAGAAACAAATGTGCTTGTGTGTATGTTTTTCCACGTCAGCATTTCCAGGAGAAAGTGGAGTCTCTGGAGCAGGAAGCAGCCAATGAGAGGCAGCAGCTGGTGGAGACGCACATGGCCAGAGTGGAGGCCATGCTCAACGACCGCCGCCGCCTGGCCCTCGAGAATTACATCACCGCTCTGCAGGCAGTGCCTCCAAGGGTAGGTCTCATTGAGATCTCACTTCAGGGCACAGCAGCCATGGTGGTGTCCAGACACAGGGGACTGGAGGCCACATGAAAGAAGCTAGGAGAAATGCCTTAAGCACCTTACTTATAGATGGGACTCAGCTGTATTGTCTTAAAGGCACAGGGTCAAGAACCAATGTCTGGTCTCCCTCTCTTAACTCTTTTAGCTAGTACCTTTATATGGTTTTCCATGTTACATTGTTATTTTCCTTTAAGCCATCATTGTTTATATTTTTTCATATTATAAGAAACGATAACACCTTTGCCTAATGTGGTCATGGTTTCTCATAGTCTTATTTTCTGCCCTTATTTACCCTGTATCATTTTCCTTCTGCCCAAAGGACTTTCTTTATGTTTTCAAGTGCATGTAGGATGAAGTTTGAATTCTTTAGGTTAGAATGTATGTAAGGTAGTGATAGCTTACTTTTATGTCTTTACGTTTGAAAATACCTTAATTTTACCACTGGTTTTGAGAGATATTTTGGCTGGGTATAGAATTATTGGTCCAGATGGTTTTCTTTTACTACTTCAATGATGATGTTTGTTATTCCCAACAGGCAATGCTTACATCTTTACAAATGATCGAGAATTTTCTCGTTATCACAGTAGCTAGTTTAACAATGTATAATGACAGAATTCCATCTCTCTTTAGTCTCTTCATCTCACACCTAAGATAATGACTGATATTTTCCTGCATAATTTTGTGTCTGATCATTTTTCATTGCCTAGCTATCATACACTATAAATGTTAGGTTGTTGGATGTAGTTTTATAAAACTATAAATATATTTCGACTTTGATCTGAAATGTAGCTAGTCTACCTGGAAGCAGTTTGACCCTTTGGTATTCCACTATTTTTAGATTTGTTAGGTGGAATGGATCAGTTTTCTGCATGTGGCTTATTATTCCCATTTTCCATCAAGATCCCTCTGAGTAGTCTACCATGAATGGCTGGGTTCAAATTGGACTGTCAAGAACAAGTAAGTCCTTTCTCTGTAGGACTCCAGGCACTGTTACCTCTAATCCTCTGGGAACTGTTTATACCCAGCCTCAGTTTCTGACAGTAGCATGCACCGATGAGTGCTTAGCTACAGTCAGGAGGACCACCCTCTGCAGATTCCTTGTAGGCTACATGGTCCTGGAAAGTCTAGCCAGCTAGGTCTCTATCCACTCCTCCCTTCTTGGAATCTCCTGTCTGGATCCCCTACCTTGTACAGTCTGGGAACCCCAGGGGCCTCAGGTGCTGACAATTATAGGACCTCACCTATGTGTGTCGCCTCATTCTCTATGGCCCATGCTCCTTACATTGAAGAAATTGCTCCTCTTATTCAGTTCATCCATTCCTTTGCTCTGGCAGGAGGGTGAAATCTTGGTCCCCTTGATAGATCTTGGCCAGAAGTAGAAATCTGTTCGCATTATGTAACTAAACCAAGAATCCAGCCACTGGTGCTGATTCTCCTCACCACCCTGATCTTGCTTTCCATGTTAACAGGGCTCCTGGCATTGCTCCCAGTAGCAAGATGGTACTGACTCTGTTATACTGGTGACATCACAGTGATCTCCGGGGGATGAGGTGGCTGGCTCAGGGTGACACTGCTAGTAGTAGACAGGGAGAGTTGTGAGTCAGTCGCCCTCTGCAGTGTCTTCTCTCTGGACCGTACCTCCTGTCTGCACAAAGAGCTTTTGAAAGCACGGTATCCATATTAGCACTTTCCCAGGCAGTACTTGGTGAAATGCTGGTTGTGTCTTCTCTGCAGATGACAAGGTCCTTGGTTACTCCTCACAGGACACGCTTCAGAGAGGAAAGTTGTGGGAATGGATCGTTCGCCAGTGTAGTGGGTCTTGAGACAGGAGATACACTGAAACCATCCCACCAGAAGTCCAGTCTCTGCAGTTAGGTCTTTGTCCTGGGGAGTTAGAGTTAAAAATGAGATGAGAGCTGAATGGGATCTTTCAGTTGAGTCTCAGCATCAGGAAAGACAACGACCAGCAGGATCTCTGGCAGAGCTGCGTGTGGGTGGCATCAGTGGGGATCTTTTTAGGTAGCTCACGGTGGTGTTTACTCTGGACCTGTTGATGCAATATTTTAAAGTGAACATGTTTCACTGTCGGGGAAAAAATCAGACTGTTCTTGGTTACTTTGAACATGCCTCTTAAATTTCTTAACTATGAAATACACAGATCTCTCCTTTCAAGTAAAGTAAGACTAAGTAGCACACAGGCCTGAGTCTTCAGGCGGTACCTCCTATGTTAGAGAAATCACCAACTTAGTCTGAGTGTTATTTAAGTTTTTAAATTTGACTTGGCTCTGAACTTGGAAAGGGTTAGAAAATTCTAAATCTCTTCTTGATAGCTTTTGTGGGGTTGTTGAAGGAGTTGCTCACAATAGCCACAGAGCCAGACAATGTTAACTTTTCAGAAATGCTATTTAAATATAGCATTGAGTATTTGGTAAAAGTAGAGGGTTTTGTTCTATTTCCAAATAGTTATATTCTTAATCCTAATCTTATTGTGAATGTTTCTCAAGCTTCTTAGAAAGGTCTTCTTCAAGACCAGGGGGAAATATGTGACCGTGGCACGTATGTGTCCTCTTTTTAGTTAGTTCAAACAGAAGATGAAGAGATAAACTGGAAAGCTTGGAGCGTCTGTGTGTCTCTGCAAGTGTATCCGTCCCCACGTTCCCTCCAATGTGGAGCCCCAATCTCATTCCCTTCCAGGCAGAAGGTCGCCACAGGCAGCTGTCCACAGCTGTCATGCTGTGGTGCTCTGTGGCCCATGTATGTGCTAATGTCTACTTTGCCCTCGTCCATTAAGATGAAAGACTTACTATGAAATGACAAGGGTTTAGGCATTTAAGAAAAGTGTATAGCGCACAATTGAAAGGTGAAGTGATTTTTCACCATAGCCTGCCTTAGAGAACAGGGCTGGTGAGGACTCTTCAGAATATACACGTATGTGTGTACATACATACGTGTGTACACACACACAATTTTACACCATTTCCCAGGGTCATTTGATTAAATTTAACATACGTTCTAATTTCATACTCCTCGATTATAACTGGATTCTAAGAAGTCTGCCTTCAGTTTTGTCGTGTAAATGTTTTTAATTAAAAAACAAGCTCCCACTTAGTTCAAAACATAGTCTAGGTGTTAGGAAAGGAGGGAATACAATTACAGTAGCAGAAATGCATTTGACCTTGAATTGTTGGCTCCTTGGAGGATGTCTGAAGCAAGAATGCAGGGTCCCAAAGGTGAACATATAAAATGAAAGCAGACTGTTGTAAATCACCCTGAGAGAAGTCAAGACTATGTCCCAGTTGGCATTTGTTGGATGATCAGACCACTTGGCAAACCTTTCCTAGGGTCTGTGTTGCTTTAAGACGTCTTGTTTGCTAACTAATCCTGAGCTGTGCCCTCTGGGTTGTGTTACTAAGCCAGTTTACCCTGAGAGCTTCGTCTGTTTTGTTTGACTAAACAAGACTTGAAGATGCAGAAGCCCAGATCAGTCCTGGCCCCTCTCTGCTCTGGGGCTGAAAGAGCTCAGTGCTGTCTCCAGTGTCTGAACTGCTAACATTTAGCTGAAACCATGAATTATGGAATTGGATACAGGTGCTAAATTTCAGCCTAAGCTGACTGTATTTCACAAAGGTCACTGGTTTGTATGAGAGAATAGCTAACTCCATTTCCTATATTTCCTGATGTTACATAAATGCCTGTATTCAATTCCCAAGACAGCCATTTAATCTGTAACCGGGAGCAAGTTACTTAGTAAAGGAATTTGTCCTCCCCAGTTTGAAAATTGGGGTTAAATTTTCAGCTCCTCTTTCAGTTAACATTTTCCTAGTTCTGTTTGTCCATAATTCAAAGCCAGAAGGACTCACTGAAGGTTGAGAGAAGACTGTGGGTGTCTTCCAGCCAGGGAGGACGAAAGTTAGTATGGAACACATGAACGTCGGCAACTGTCCAATTAGAAAGATCTGCTTCTTAGTTAAAAAGGAACCAATAGCCAGTGACTTTCTGGAAAGTAACTCCTTGACCATGTGCTACTCTATCGGTGTGAACTATGCGAGAAAGCCTTATTATCCAAACTCTTTCTGTGGAATTATATCTTTATTATCTGAACTGAAAATCACAAAATGGAGGAAGCCACAGGAATGAATCTTTTGCCATTTTCTCTTGCTTTGGTAAATTTTGTGTTTGACCAAACATAGTGATTTTTAAAGAAAATACCATAGATACATTTTGTATTGGGCTTTAAACCTTTTACTTAACCAGTAGACTTAACGACAAAAAAATATTATTTTCTAAAGATTGCAATGTAAGTTTCTTCCCGTTGGTTTTGATTTATTTTATTGGTTTGCTTATGTTTGCATTGCTTTTGCTGGTTTTGTTCTTGTTGTTTCCCCCCCTAGATTTCTTTTATAACATTGAGAATATGTTTAGAATGTTGATGGAGAAATAGAGAAACAAACTCAGCTGGGACATATCACAAGTGTTCTATACAGTTTATATCATATGCTTAGCAATTTTTTTTGAAAACTCGGATATAAAACTTCAAAAAGCTAGCTTTGTAAAAACAGGAGAAAATTACTTTTACCTGGTAAGGTAAAGTTCAAGGTTTTAGAAACCACTAGGGTGCAATTTAATGCTTCAGGAGAGGGTTCTCTGAAGAAGTCCCTCACACCCTGGGAAGGTTAGACTCCCTGTGTCGTGACATGGCTGGGATTGTATCCCAGCCTTTCAAACACTCGGATACTTGGTCACTCCCATCAGGAAATGATTTAAAGCACAGGTGTCTGTGAGGGAGTAAGAAGCCAGGTGTTCCGATCAAGCATGAAGCTGTAGATCATGGCCACGGGACTGATCGGTCATGTCAGGTGCTTGAGTGTAAGCGAGTGAGTGAAGACCCATGAATGTAGACACGGGTGGCAGGGAGAAGCCTGTTCGCTGTCAGTGACGTATGCCTTTCATTCCAAGTCCCAGGCATACCAAACTGAGAAACGATACAAAAGAACAATGAAAAGTGTGATACAGCCGGGAAGTGGGGAGTTTTATCATGTTACCTTAGACAGGAAAAGGTCATGATCTCACCCAGCCGTGTGGCCATCAACCTGATGTCCATGGGTCATAAAGACAGTGAATCCTCTGAAATGAGTGGAATGAGCCTTGTTAAGAGAAGCTTGGATATATCTGGACTCCATTAAGTATTTTCTGGGATGATTGCCCACTTAAAACACCTTACTAAAGGACTGGGAAGTACTGGATAAAGACATCGGGTGGGCTTGGAATTTCTGTGTGGTCTGTGAAAAGAGACACTCACTTTCCAGGATAAGGTACAAAGAATAGTCTACACACTGGAACAGCTTCTGAAATTATGATGCTTGCCTCTGAGTCACTCATCGATTTAATTAACAGTTACTTATTAGCAACCACAGTGTGCCTACGGTAGGAGGCAGGAATCCGCCATGCCCATTCTCCTGTTTCAAAGTGTGTGTGTGTCCTTTGTATTGAGTGCGTGTCCCCTTTGCTCTCATTGTAGACGTCATCCAATGCAGTTCAGTAGTGCTTATCCCTCGTGTCTTCGGAGATTAATTTTTAAATGCTGTTTTAAAGGGCAGTGTGATTGCCCCAGGGCGAAGGAAGGGCAAATTGAAAGGGCCACATCAGCCACAAACAGAGATGATGCAGTTATGGGATAAAGACTGTTCGAGAAACAATAGTGACGATAGAAAGGGCTGGTTATAATGAGTTCCCACGGGGACAGATGTGTTTTCTTAACTCTTAACTATGAGGTTTAGCTCCCGCCCATTGCCAGTGTAACCAAATTGCAGTGTTGATACATAGTAAGAATTTCCTGGTAAAATATCTATATCATTAGTTAGAGAAAATTTCAAGACTTTGGTGCTTGACATTATGAGTAGAAACAAGGAAAATGTTAGACTATTTATTAGCAACGTATTTATAATGAGGCACTGAATTTTTGCTTGTTCTATGAGGAATTCGGTTTTGAATATGAGTAATGTGGTCAGGCTAACATTTCCTAACAATAATTACTTTTAAGAGAATTTGCTTCTGTGCTTTATGTACAGATACAATGGGGATAAAGAATTTTTTCTATCATTCCTGCATGAATGTTTCTTGTTTTTAATTAAAATGTACCAAATTCATCTTTGTCCTGGCATAATCAACAAAGCTCCCTAGAGAGTGATGATCGCTTGTTATTCTACGATCAGTTACAGAGCTCTAGAAATAACTAACGCCCGCCTTAGAGAATTGTGGCTGAAAGTTGTGAAGATGGTGGTCCATTTCCTCATCTCATTTCATCTTTTGAAGGAGACTCACATGAATCATATGCTAAACAGAGCTGTCTCTTCACACACAAATGAAGATAAAATAACGCAGGGGGAAATGTTGCTTGTTTTTCTTCCCTGTCCGGACACTCTTGTCTGTGAGGCCCAGATACACACCATTTGAGGTGGTTTCTTTGTCTGCTCTCCAACATGGGCATTGACCTAAC